TTGTGTCATTTTGTCGATCAAGAAGGGGAAATATGGGCAAGTCATCCGAACAGGGAGGCGATCTGATGTAGGACCTAGAACCCTAGAAAAAACAAAGAAACAGAACGATCATATGCATACCTACACAAGTTGACTTCTCCTGGAGAGCAACTATTATAAGATGAATAATGTGGCACACGCTGAGCTCAACATCAGCTCACCTCTGTAAATCTTAGTTGAGAGGGGTTGAACGCCCTCAATATGGCGCTACTCCCTCAGAGTTATTTGGCGGACTATTTAGGCTCAACTCTTCCGCATCAAAGATGCTACGTAGCCATCCGTCATTGAGTCAAGTGCCGTGGGAGCCCCCACAATCAGGGCGCTAGAACAGATGATTCTCCCTCCCCTCACTTTATTCCAGCAAAGAAGGTTTTCTCCAACTAACAAAGTTATCTCATCTTGAACAAGGGCACCCTTCTGAAACAGGTCACCTTGCCTGGAGGCAATTCTCCCCTTAATCAATCTGGCGGCCCCCAAATTCACCCTTTCGAGTCCAGTAAATTCCCTAGTCGAATGTTGTCATCCGAACCATGCGGAGGCTGGGGAGATTCGAGAACGTGAGCGGCCAGCATTGCCGGCATCCCTGACTGTTGAGGAGGATGAGCCGACTTCACGTGGTCTTTCGGAGCCAAACTCTCCGTACGATCTTCATAGCCTAGGCTGCCCGCCTGTCCAGCATTGTGCGCCAAACCCCAAAGTTTGCCCAATCCAGCAAACTCGCCAGGTCCCAACGGCTCGGCGCCAATGCACTGGGCCGCGTTCCAAGCATCATCCCCGCCGAACGAGCCCCGGCCGCCGTGTATCTCACACGGCCGAAAAAGTAACCTCAGAAGCTCAGAAAGCTCGGCACGGAGAACCTCTGCGATCGTCCCGACATTCTGGGGGATTCACCTCTAAGATGAAGGACCGGTGCGTTCCGGAACCCTTGGACCTTGCTTTGCTGGCGCGATTCAGTAATCCAGGGACAACAAACTCCGGAGTTGAAGATTAAGTCCCCAGCTTGGCGCAATAGCTGGTGATGTATAAGAGGGGAGATATGTCCATCGCGCTGTAAGTCACCGGTCTGATAGCTCATCACGCACCATTCAGTTAGGGTCTTACATTCTTTTCTCATTTCCCCCATTTCCACGCTCATTATTCCAAGATGGTTGTCGCTCACCTTTTGCTCGCAGCAGCGCTTGCGCCCGCGGCACTAGCCACCCCCCTCAAGCTGCGCGACGTTGCATCGTACGAAGGAAACCCGCTGGCGGACAGACAACTCTTCCCCAACCCCTACTACACAGATGAGATCACGAACCTCGCCGTCCCCAAGCTCACCGGAGACCTCGCAGCGAAGGCAGCCAAGGTCGCCGAGGTGCCCACATTCGCATGGCTGTTAGTGTTCTGAGCCGAGCCCCAGGGCCATCATACTTTACGAGCGTCTGCTGACAACCGCAGTGATACACGCGAGAAGATTAGTCTGATGAACAGCACCCTGGCGCAGATCCGAAAGCTGAACCAGGAGGGCGCCAACCCACCGTACGCTGGCACATATGTCATCTACAACTTCCCCGATCGTGATTGCTCTGCGAAGGCCTCCGCAGGTGAGCTCGTCATTGCCGACGGCGGTGTTGAGAAGTACAAGACAGAGTACATCGACCCTATTGCCGCGCTCGCGAAGGAGTACTCGGATGTTCGCCAAGTCTTCGTCTATGGTAAGTTCCTGGGACGTTATCTGGGGCTCTATGTCTACGGTATGCTGACGACAAGCAGAACCCGATGGATTGGCCAACCTCATCACCAACATGAACGTGGCGAAGTGCACTGGCGCAGCCGATGCGTACAAGGAAGGCACCGACTACGCCTTCAAGACCCTCAACCTCGACAACGTCGCAATCTACGTGGATGCAGGCCACGCAGGATGGCTGGGCTGGGAAGCGAATCTGAAGCCTACTGCCGAGCTTTACAGCGAACTATACAAGAAGGCCGGTTCTCCCAAGGCAGTCCGAGGCTTGGTCACAAATGTGTCAAACTACAACGGCTGGAACCTGACGAGCGCGCCGGCGTACGCAGAGAGCAACAAGCAGTGGGACGAGTCAAAGTTCCACGCCGCGTTGACACCGTTCCTCAAGGAGGCTGGGTATCCGGCAAACTACCTCGTCGACCAGGGTCGCAGCGGCAAGCAGCCGACCGGACGCCAGATTTGGGGTGACTGGTGCAACATCAAGCAGACTGGCTTCGGCACAAGACCCAATGTCAAAACTGGCATCGATACACTGGATGCCTTTGTCTGGGTCAAGCCCGGCGGTGAAGCTGATGGTACGAGCGATTCGACTGCGGCTCGCTATGATGAGAAGTGCAGCTCTGCGTCCTCTGTGATTCCGGCTCCGGAAGCCGGAACTTGGTTCCAAGAGTACTTTGTGCAGTTGTTGGAGAATGCCAACCCCGCGTTCTAGATGATTACGGAGGAACCCAGTTGCAGGGTTTAGAAGTCACTCTATTTTCATTCCTTCGTACATCAATAGGGTCCAGGAGTTTAGCGAAATGTGAAAAAAAAAAAAAAAATGAAAGACTTTTCGCAAAACTGCCAAATTCTTCCACTGCATTATCTTCATCAGTTGGCGAGAACATTGAGTTTCCATAACATACTGTGATATGGAGTTATGCGGATGCCTGAAGGAAGCTTTGTTCAGCGTTGTGGGGACTACTATGCTGAAATAGAAACTTAAAGGTGGTAACTCCAACGCGGGCATGAGCGTATGTTTTGTCTCTTCAACTCGCGCCAAAGCCTTTTGAAGTTCAACGACCTCAAGCTGGCAACTCGTCCAAACAGGAAACCTGCCAGATCTGGACCACAAAGTCAGCGGCACCAGCAGACCAAATAGAGACCGAGATGAGCGGCTAACCGCAACATCTGTCGAGCTCAAACACCAAAAAGGAGCTCGATGGCGCGCTTCGGCCCCGCATGCCCCAGCGGAGCGCCTGCAATCTCGCCCCTTTTGGAATTTGCACCGCCCAGGCCCGAGCTTCAACTGGGAGTTCCACCAATCGCATTGAAATGCACGTTGGCCGAGTATGGGGAATTCAATGTACTGCAAACGCAGAGTGACGAAGTCTTTTTGATCAAGAGCCCCTTGGTGCCGAACTCTCTTGCTCTTGGTCAACGGGTGGAAGGGGGAGCCAAGCCGCCAGTATAATATGTAAAGCACCACGCGTCCCACGCGAACCGGCCGTCTGAACTGTTTACCTGTACTATTCACAGTCGTCCCGTCTCTCGTTGGTGTTCCCTGCACGGTTTCTCAACCTCTCATTCGCTTCTCATTCTTCCTATTCGCTATTCTTCTCATTGTTGATATTTTGCTGGTACATAACGTTACAATCCCTGGCCCAAAATGAAGTCCTTCACCCAAGCCCTTTCCCTGGCAGCCGGCCTGTCCCTGTCCTTTGCCAGTCCCACCCCGGCCGTCTTCCCGAGACAGACCAACAGTTCCAAGAACCTGATTGTCTTGTAAGTCACCCGCATACCTGTTCCGTGCATCCATATCTGCGGAATGATAAGAGAGGAAGAGAGCCCCATCTGACTCGGACGCTCTCCCTGTAGCGGCGACTCTTACTCCACTGTCGGCTTCTGGCCCGGCGGCACCCTCCCGGCTGCCGGAAACCCGCTCGGCAACCCCTCCCTGCCCGGCCAGACCACCTCTAGTGGCTTGAACTGGGTCGGTCATCTCACGAGCACCCTCAACACATCCACCATCTTGACCTACGACTTTGCCGTGACCGGCGCAACCACCGACAAGGATATCGTCGACACTTATGCCCAGTACTGCGTCGACGACCAGGTCGACCAGTACAAGCAGTACGTGTCCAGCGTCGTCAACAAGGATAACGCACTCGTCGCCGTTTGGATCGGCATCAACGATGTCGGCGAGCCGTTTTGGGACAAGGTGTCTGCGCCTGTCACCAAGATCATGGACCGCTACTTTGAGCTCCTTCAGACTCTTGCCGATGACGGCCTGAAGAACTTTGTCCTGCTCTCCGTGCCTCGTACGTGATACCCCGAAACCAATCTCCTCTTCAACTTGTTTGGTCCTAACATACCCCTACCAGCCTTCTCTGACCAGATTCCCGCCATGATCGGCCAGTCCGAAACCGACCTGGCCCGCCTGCGTTCCGACATCACCTCGTACAACGCCGCCCTCGAGACCCGCCTCGCCACTTTCAAGTCCGCCAACAGCGGCGTCAAGGGTCTTGTCTTTGACACCAAGCCCTCGTTCGACACAGTTGTCGAGAACTTTGCGCAATACGGCGCCAAGGATGCTACCTGCTACGGCTCCAGTGATTGCATCTGGGCTGACAACTACCACGCCGGCCTGGCTATCCACAAGCTTCTCGCCCAGAACTTGGTCAAGGGTGTGGCCGCGAACTTCGTCTTCTGAGCAAGGTAGATTGTTGCATGTCGGGAAGATGGTGGACAGTACATACAATCTTGAATATAACTGAGCACTCACAGCTCTCATTCGCACTTATATCCCTCTGATTTACTGCATCTCATTGAATATGAACTTGACTTACCGCCAGGACATTTGCAGCCCGGAAAAGCATGCCCTCATATACTGGTGTTCGTTGACCAAGAAGAGAAAAAGTGTTAGACTCGAGGTCAAGCCACACTAATCGGGCAGCGAAAGAAAAGTCGCAATTCGAAATCAATGGCATTCATTAATGGGTTCAAGAGTTTGACTGATTAGTAGACCGAATGATAATTTAGATTAATCAAAAGAAGTGCGTCGGGCTCAATATGTAGTGGTGTCAATGCTAAACAATTAAGATCGCCGCCAGCCTCTCTCAAGTGTTCAGGCTGGTTTGACACCTTCAAAATCCACCACCCATTCCCACAAAATCGTCCCTGGCCAATGTTGAAGACATCCATAAACTCGTAGCTGGTTGATCGTTTTGTCTCTACGCAAAGCCTACGTTGCATCCTGCTACGCTCTTCGAATTTGCAGGCCTCGCGCGGTGGGAACTAGCTCGAACTGTGGTTCCGATGTGTCGCAAAAGTTTACGAACATACGCACCCTTCGCTGGTTAGAGTACGGCTTCCAAAGTGTGTAGAATTGGGGTCCCAGGGACTTCTCCATGACTTGAAGTCTCTTCGCATGGCGTGGAATGGAGTCCAACGTGCTGTCGTACCGGCTGTGTCGCAGTGATTCCGGGGTTCTGCAGTCTTCGTCAAGAATGATGTCTTTGAGCGCGAGAAGTCCCGCCATGGGATTACGGTATCTAGAGCCGCGTCCACCAGTAAACGCATACACAAAGGAGTGAGGTCGCATCCTTAAATGGATGTTTTTGAACTCAGGCTGAAATTCGGTCAAATGTGCAATAAAAGAGGCAACACCTCGTCTTGATCGCTGGTAGATGACGACATAACATGAATCGAAGGCATCGATATCTGGTAGCACTACGGCGAGAGTGATTGCTCGGCCACGGTAGGAGACTTCAAAGTCTGGTAGAAAGACTTTCAGCACAACGTGCCTGAAAAGCTGGTTGATTTGAGATAGGTCTCGGATCATTTTGAAGCGTAGCAATGCGAGACGTCGTTGGCGGCGGTTGAGCTTGAGCTTAGGACGTTTGTCCCGGGAATCCTAAGTCGCGTTCCAGGTCAATGGCTGAGCAGAGATCTCGGCATCATCTACCATCATCTCGGCAATCAAAAGGAAGATCTCAATTGGGAGACACTCTAACGTGGTCTTGCCTGGTGTGTTGGTGAGACGCAAGCCCTCTTGGTGGAACAAACGGGCTGATCATCGTGAAGCCATGGCTGAGCGGTGTGTTATGGCCAGTGTCGACAGCACGCAGTGGTGTCAGTCTCTCCAAAAGATTATCCCAAACTGCACAACAGTATTTAAATTTTACAAAATCTTGTTGAACAAAATGGAGAATTTTGATTAATCAAGACCGTGCTAGGAGATTCTGGGAGGTGTGGTGTTGGAAAGAAGACCAGCATTGACTCCAGGTCTTTCAGAGGTCTTACTCGGTGAATGGCGATATGTCAAAGACTGCATATTACTTACCTTGAGACACCGCTTGCAGTCTGTCTTCTTCGCCGCGTTAACCGTCAAAGCCAAATACTTAAACGGAGGTGTTCCATTTTGTTCGAAAGGACCAGTCGCCAAGCGCCTTGATCTCATGTTAAGGTAGTCAGAGAAATGGTGAGGTGGCCGCTGTTCTCTATGTTTCTGGGTCCTTTATGCTCATATTCGACATCTGCATGCCTGGCGAATGCTGTCTTTCGAGGTGGGAGCGAATGAGTAAGGCTCTCGGAGGGTCGAGCGGGTATTCAGTGGGGTAGCCGGTTCGGGGCCGGCCAGTCTCACTTACTTTTGCCGGCGCCTTGCCGGCGTTTAGTCCGGAAGACTACAGCTAGTTCGGTAGTTACAGGCCAAAGATACCCAGTTTCAGTGGAACTTCCATCCTCTAGCTGATTTGCGAAACCATTCCCGTGTTTCCTGATGTTCACTCTAACAGCGTAGCATCGCCTCTGCAGGCCTGTGCAAACTACCGTATGGGAGGCGGACGTGGCAAAGTCGGGCTTGGCTTGGCAGGGGTTACTATGCCAAGTGCGGAATGCAAAATGCGAAATGCGAAATGCGAGATTGAAACTGTAAGGTATGCTGTGAGAGGCACACATCCAAATCAAGCACCATATAAATTGACATCAGCATAGACTGGAACGTATCAAAAGTAAGTAGTACAAATACTCTCTCTTCAAGGCAAACAGGTTTCTGATGGGCCACGTTCGAAACACTTCCTCGAAGCATTCGCACGCAGCTTTATCTTCTCGAAAAGCAAAATCAAAATCTTCTTCGCTTTCAATTTTCTACCCTTTCAGGCGACATTGTCATGGCTCAAACAACCATGTCCCTAGGCAGTCATTGGCCTAGAACCAGCACGCTGCGAGGATGTCGTACCAATCGCCTTCTTCGGATGTTCGCCCATACTTTGATTGGACTTTCAGTTCTATCTGCTCCGTTGCAGACCTTTGCTTTCGGCAGCCTTGGTACCAATTCAGTGATTCGCAGTAGCAGTTTACGACTCTCCTCGAACCGCGGGCATCGTCAATTCGCGAGATGAACATGACTAGAAGCACCGCCTCCCGCGAGGGCCAACCAGTCGTCGCCGTCAACCCCACAAACCCCGACAATTTTGTCTTCGTGTCGACACGCTTCCATCCTCTGCCTGAACTTGAGCCCGTTGGGGTTTGCTTTCTGACCTATACGCTCGACCGCGGAATCACCTGGAACAACGTCACAGCGGATTACCCCTTAGGTGCCGCCCCGAAGTGTGGCGAGCCACAGGTCTTTGCCGACGCGAATGGGACGTTTTATCTCCTCAACAACCAGGTCTTCTCTGGCTTGGAAGATAACATTGCCGCTCATCCCTAGTTGTCCAAGTCCTTTGACGGAGGCAAAACGTGGAGCGTTCCATCTGTGACACCGCTTCATATGCAAGGTGCGACAAAGCTGCGGGTAGACGTGGCTACCGGAAAGGTGTACGCGAATAGTGCATCATCTTGGAAATACCCAGCAGCTGTGTCTGTCAGCTCAGACGGTGGCGAGACCTGGGCTGCTTTCAATCAAATCCCCGGTCCCGTGGACGTTTGCCTGGACTATCAGATTCCAGACCTGCCTCCAATCTGTGGATGCCCCGGCAGATCTGTTGCAGTCCACGACGGCATTCTGGCTTCGGCTGCGGAGGGATCGAACGGACACCCAGAGATGTACGGGAGACATTTCCCTTGACTGATACCCAAGGCAATCTTGTGGCGAACGGCACCGGCCCGATGCTGGCCAAGTCTGGCATTGGTCTTCCTAGTGATCCGACTCCGTGGCTGTCCGCAGACCCTACCTCAACGGGTCGTTTCGCGCTTATGGTTCCACGCGACTTCACGCTGGAGATTTACATCACGGATACTGCAGGTCAAAACTTCACAGGTCCAGCCGTTATCCAGACTCATGATGCGCAGCGTCCTGCCTTCGACTTTGGTCCGGATGGCCAACTTGGTGTCATGTGGCGCACTAACTCGTCGGGCATCCTCGATGTCTACTCGACGGTATCTTTTGACGGCGGACGTAACTTTGCTGCACCAATCAAGGTGACGGCACAGCCGCAACCTGTTGGTCAAAATGGCCAGCCCGGCGACCGAGCTTCCTCTGTCTCGCTCACTAATACCTATGCTTATGTTGCCTGGTCTGACGGCCGCGATGGCTTACTGGACGCTGTTCTTGCTGAGATACCCTTGGATCTGTTTCAAACTATGTCTTAGGCTATGGAGGTACGTCAAAGTATCAGAAGTCTCAGTATGGCTGCTTAGGAGCGGCGCATATATGAGGAGAATTATGTGCGACAAATGAGCAATAGCTGTCTTTTCGCACTGGCCAGTATTACTACCAAAGAACAAATGATCACTTCAAACCGCATCGAAAGTCCCAGCTTGGCATTTACTGTAAGAGAAGTGGACCTCATGTCTTAAAATTCTATGGCACTCTGCTACATATGCTATTACATTTAGGATCCAAAATGCAATCAACCTTTGAAGAATCGGTCACCTAGGATGACAGAGTAGAAATCTCGAACTCTTCTCAGGTATCAACTCCCTTGCTACCTGCTTAGAATCTATTAAGGCGATTTTTGATTCGTTTGCGGGGTAGTGGAATTTCGATGTTTATTGAACGAGTGAATAATGGTGACATGGACGCATGGAATGATATGAAGCCCATCCAACTTAGTCATATAGACTGATTGGGTTTCCCTTAGCTTAGACGTGGCTATAATTGATGATTGCTCTTAGTACTCATCTTTTGTTGTAACATCAAATAACGAAATAGAAGTTCTCCTGAATAGCGCCTAAAGAATTCCCCGATTTTGACACCGAACACGCAACATAGCAAGCAGAAGCACCATCAACGCCATTCTATTCTATGATGTACAAAGAATGAGGCTTAATTTACAAGACCTAGCACCAACCCCTCATGCCGTGGCTTAGAACTCAATGTCCCAGCTTGTATCCGCCCCAATTAAGAATGGTAAAGACACCCTCAGGATCATACTTTGCTCGGATCTGTCTGAGTTTCTCGACATTCTTGAAGGGCATTCCAAGCCAGGGATTCTGGGTCTCGGATGCATCACCCATGTAGATGAAGTCACTGGCCAAACCCATCTGGTGGTTTACAGAGTGATGGTAGTCCCTGAACTTAGCTGCCCATCCCGAGATTGAATGAGTTCAAATTGGTTAGAGATGAATCGACTGTCAGGGACACCGTGAGGAATCATTCCAGAAACTTACCTTGGATATCATCTTCGGGACGAGCCCAGCCAGTAGAGGTTTGCCAAACTATGACCGTGTAAGTGTGGTGCGTGAAAGTATAGTATATGAAGCAAAAGCGGGAACATACCGATAAAGGACTCCTTATCATCCAAGCCCCAAATGTTCCCGATTCCATTATGCTTGGCCACAGATTGCGCGCTCTTGGGCATGATGTTCATGACAAACGTAGGGTAAAGCCCCTCGACATCCGACAACTTAGAGACGGACTCTTTCCAAGCCAAGTAAATTTCGTACAAGCGCTTAGCATCTGGACGCATGGTTCCGTGAAAATACTTTGCACTTTAAATTGTTAGCAGCCATGAAACGTCTCTCAGACTTATCTCATGTCGAAATGGGCCGCATACCGGAACATTTGATTGGGCGTCTCTAGCACGGAATGCCATTTTGCTGGAGTTTGAACCGCATCGATTCGGGAAACTGGCTTGATCGCCGAGAAGCGCTCGAAACGGCTGGGGGGTGATTCTGTTCCTTCTTGTACGCCAAGAAGCGAGCCCGTTGCTGACTTGGTCGTCGTGTTGTAGGAGATGCTGATAACTGCAAACAAGTCGCAGCAGGGCGGCAAAAAGGCGTACCGAAAGAGCAAAGTGGCAATGTTGGAGACAGCTGGTCAGTGTTTTGCGCTGGCGAAGTGGGGCGGTACGGATTACCAAACGGAGCGCGTCGGCTTCCAGCGAAGCCCCGCTATCCGGGCATTGCTGCTGACATAAGAGCGGCTGATAACCGTGTAGAATAAAATCAATCAGTCAATCATATATGGAGTGCCGTAGCCGCCGTAAGCCTGCGGGGCCGGCCCTGGTCTTGTTCATGCATGTTGGGTCGTAACATGGGTGGCCACTACCTGTGTATAGAAATCAAGCGCTGGACAAGGGACCACGGCTTTCATGAACCCAAGAATGCGTGCTGAATTGTAACAGATCCTTATCTTTGGGTACCGGTAGAGCTACCCTGAGACCTCTCTAACACTGCCCTAGCGAGGTGACGTAAATCCAGCATGGCAAAAGGAAACCATACGTCGCTATCTAATCCTGCTTCTAATTGAGACAGGTATGCTTCATCCGTCAGTGTACGCCTTGCTTTTTCAACGAACTCTTCTTTCTCCGGACCTAGAATGGCGAGCGCAGTGGCACAAGACCATATGAATATGTCTTCGGCTGACTCTCCGCCGCCGCCGGCCGCATAGTAGTTCTGGAGTTGCTGAATGACGCTGCTCTTCTTTTCATCGTCATTCGCCGAGACGAACAAGATCGCAATGGCCAGTACAATAGTGCCACGTACCGCGCTACAGGTCTCTCGACTGAGCAGGTCCAAGAGAGCCACTGCTGACGTATCCGAATGTCGTGGGAAAAAGGCCAAAGCATGAGCAGCAATCGCTCGCAGGTCGAGTGCCTCCTCCCCTAAGCAGCGAATTATCGACGATAGACCTCGTTCGGCTGCCTCGTACGTCTTGAGCTCATTAGATGCATCTTCGCGGCAAGTCGGATCCTGCTCATCGGCAATTTGCTTCTCCCATTTGGGTAGATCAACCCCGTTCGGGACGCTCCTGTCTGGGTGGCCAACCGCAAGACTGGTAATCAGATACAGCAGGCCCTGCCGGTTTTTGGTTGCTGGGTGGTCAAGTAGGAGATACAAAAAGGGCACCGCTGCAACTGAAGCACTGTAGCGGGTACCCTGGTGATAGATGGTGGACAGACATGCATCATAAGCAGTCATGTAGACCTCTGGATCCGTAGATTGAAGTTCTCTTAAAAGTATCGGTACATCATCAGCGGGGCCGTATGCGTGAGTCAATCGAGCCCAGTCAATGGAATCGAGTCCAATCAGGACATCTGTAGTTGAGGTTGGCATCTTCACAATATGGTGTTTTGAGGAGTGATTAGGGGCGGTGGACGGGTAAGGTGTTTGAACAGACAGGGCGCCTGTTCCGCTGATATATGTGTAACGCCATCTGTCGTTAGTTCATATGATTCATAGGCTTGGTGAAACTAAGTCGACTAGGACAACTCAACGGAGTTATACCGCGTTCTGGTTCGTCCCCATTAAGCGAAGGCTGAATCAAGGTTTGCTAGCTGCGTGTACTGCGATATCAGGCCAAAGTAAAACCCCCTGTTAAGTACCCGTGGGGCAGACCTTCTTAGGGTGATTCGACTAATAAGAGGCCACGGAGTATTGGCCAGGACTATTAATCCAATTCTTTCCCTTCGCCCATACCCACTTCTACTTACTTCTACCTACTTCTACCTACTTCTACTTATTAGTTAGTTTAAAAATATTATTATTTAGATATAAGTATATAGTAATTATATAATAAGAAGATAAATTATATTAAGTTAACTTAGCGCCCGCGGATCCGGAAATTTATTAATATTATATAAGTATATACGTAATTAGATAAGTAAAAATAATAGTACGTAAATTAATACGAAATCCTATAATAAATATAACAATTTTTTTAGTTTTATAAGTATAAAAATCGACTTTAATAAGATGATATTTTTAAAAAGATTATATAATATAATATATAATTTAAGTATATAATATATATAATATATTTTAAGTACGCGCTTAACGTAATATAATAATTTTAATACGAAAACTATTATTTAATTCGAGATAAATAGGCTATTTATTTTAGTTATTTATTTATTATAACCTAATACGCATAACAAGGTTAGCCTCACCTATAAGACCTGTAATAGCTATTATACTATATATATAGAAATACGAACTTAAGGTAACTCCTCTTAGAATAAAAGAACTATAGAATAAAGTTACGTAACTACGATCGTATAATAAAATAAAGAATAGATATTTATAAAAAGTAAAATAAATAATTATATATAAATAAAACGGATAACTATTTAGTAAATAATTAAGTAATCGTAAATAGTAATATTATAAAAATATATTTAAAAACGAAATTTATATATAATATAAACTTAAGGGCTTAGGATAAACTTTTATAGCTTTTTAGTAATTAACTTAATATTAAATCTTATAATTATTTTTAATTATTTTTACTAAGAACCCTTTTTAATAATTATAATTAATTATTAAAGCCTTATTTACTTTATAATTTATAAATATAATTTTAAAAAACTATTTATAATTATAATACTATTTACTTAGTATTCGTAGCTTTAACTTTTATTAATATACTTATTATAACTAGTTAATTATAATACTTTAATTACTCCTATTTAATAAATTTACTTTATAAAAACTAATTAAATAATATAAATATATTAATTATTAATAATAATAGCACGCACAACCTACTTAAATAGCTGCACTTATTATATAATAATTATATAATATAATACTTAAACTTAAAAATAAAAATAAATTACTCTACGCTTAGCTCTTAGTACCTAACCTCCTTTAGTACTTAGAACTAAGTACCTAAACTAAAACCTTATAATAAGTCCTTAAATATATTCTAAAATTTCTTATTTAAACTAGGGCTTATTTATATTATTATAAATCTTTTTATTATTAAAGTAAATAAGGTTTATTATATAATATCCTTTTAAAAAAATACTTTACTTAGTTCGAACCTTTTATAAAAATTATTTCGAAAATAAATATAGAATATAAAAGTAAATACTAAAAAGATTTTTAATAACTATAACGAGTTTAAAAAAATTTAAAAAACTTTTAGTAACCTAAATAAAAACGAATTACTAAATAAAGACTTATAACCCTTACTTAAAAACTTAGCTAATAAGTATACCTTAGAATTTTAATAAATTACTTCTAAATTTAATTAGGGTAATAAAGTACTTATAATAGCTTTTATTATAATTTAAAAAAGAAATTAAAACGAACTCTCTTATTAGGACTAACTAAATAAACTTTATAACTATATTAATATAATTATTAAAATTAATAATAAACTTTATAAATAACTTTAAATATAAAAAGTAAAACGTATAGAATAGCCGCCCTAAGCTTAATAATAAATATAAATATAAACTAATAATTACTACTACTAGTTATTATAGTAGACTTATAAACCTTAGTATTAAAAAAATAACCCCGTTAGAAAAAATTTTAAGTACTATAACTATAATAAACTAAGATATATAACTAAAATTATTAATAACCTAAGCATATTTAATATTAATATATTCTAAAAAGCAAGCTAATATTACTAATAAAAAGTCCTTACGGACAACTCTTATAAATAGCCTATTATAATAATAACTACCTTATTTATTAAAATAGTAAAAAATAAATAGGGTAATACCTAAGCTACTTCTAAAAATAAAGACTTTTATTATAACTAAAGTAATTAAAATAACTAAAAAAAAAAATTTATTTTTACTAACTTCTTACTCTCGAGGATAATAATATTAAATATATTACTATACTTTCCCAATTTACTAAAACATAAAAAAAGCTAAAACGGACCTTATTATAAATAATACCCTTCTTTTTTAAAAACAAATTATATAAAAGCTTCAAACAAATATAAAAAATAACTCTTAAATTTAAAAAAGAGGACCTAATATAAAAAAATTATAAATAATTTTATTTATATAACTTAATAAAATAATAAAAAATAATCCCTTATAAAAAAATCCTAATTAAACAAAATCCTAACTAAATCTATTTACGTAATATAATAAAATAATAAAAATAAAAATTTATTTATAAAATTAAAAAATAACTTAAGGACTTAAAATATAAAAAAAAATTAAAATAATTAAGAAGCCTAACCTTAATTTTAAAATTAAAAATAAAAAGTAAATTTCTAACTTAAAAAAACGAACTTAAAATTAGCTCTAATAATTATACTTTTAATAAAAAATACCTTATGATTTAAATAAACCTTATAATATCGCTTAATAACGTATTTAAACAAAAATTAATTATAAATTCTATTTTAATATAAATAATACTAGCTCTAATAAAAACCTAAAAACTATAATATAAAAATATTAACCTATATAAAAATAACTAAATAATATAGTTTTATAAAACTAATTAACCTAAAAAGTACTTATAATACTATTAATTAAAAAAATAGCTCTTTACTTAATACTAAGGACGTATTTTATAAAAATTATTTTAAATAAAATACTTTAATAATAAATACTTTTAGTATCTCTTACTTAAAAAAATAGTTACTTCTACTCTTAAAACGTAACGATTTACTTATTAAAAATATTTATATTAATAATTAGTTACTAAACTAAACGCTTATATACTTTAACGGACTTAATAAAATAATATTTAAACTAGACTTATACTTCTCTATATAATATTAAAATAATAACTATATAAAATAAAATAAATATAAGTACGACTATTAAATTTTACGTTCCTAAATTACGAGCTTAAAAAAATAAA